CTTACACGCACTTACTTTTTTATTCCATTTTACTCACAGCTGCGTCTATGTCCTGTTTACCAACTGTCATCAGCTGGCACAAGAATCACATGACATCCAACATGCTGCAGTTATTACACATTAAATTAATACCAGTCGGTACACACACACACATACCTTTTGTTTACTCAGTTTCCAATTTCACAATCTTTTCAATTGACATACACAATTGCACACGTACTAATTTACAGCATCGGCATTCATTTTACTTACTTTTACGTTATTATCACTTTTACTACGCACGAAACTCACAATATGTAATAGATTTTACAATTATATTCAATATTTATAAAAGATACATCACAAACTATAGTTTTACTTCAATTACTTTTATGACTTTACCAAGAGTCCCATGTTACATTCGTATTCAATATTATCAAAACGTATAAAAAAATATATAATCTGACTTCAATCAGATGCTACCAGTTCCCCTTCTCAATCACTGATGTCCTCCATTGCATTGCACACATGTATAGCACATGCAACCAAACTATAGTCTTACTTTAATTAATTTTATGACTTAATCAACGGTCCCACGTTACATTTGTATTCAATATTATTAAAACGTGTAATAAAAATGTAAAGTCTTACTTACATTTGTATTCAATATTATTAAAACGTATAATAAAAATATTAAGTCTTACTTCAATTAGATGCTACCAGTTCCCCTCCTTAATCACTGATATCCTCCATTGTATTGCACCCATGTATAGCACATCCAACCTGTTTCGGTCCTCAATGCACTGATGTCCACTTAGACCATGCAAATTATTTTACTACTTTTGCAAAATTACCACATATACTATGCACAATACTTAAATCATGTCAAACAATCAGTTCTTCTTGATTGCACACAAATACACGCGGGTCACACTGCGCAGCACAACAAACCAAACAATGCATAACTACATGCCTTCAAGAATTAAACCCTAAAATTATACATTCCTTTCCATACACTGTTCACATCACCTGCACTCCTCGTATGAATAACCTCATGAACTCCCCAACATACAACTATATATTCACCTAACATGGCCATTTTTCACTCACACTTATCAATACCTTGCTATTTGGCCTCTTTTCATACTTTACACTTCAAAGTTCACAGTTCTCAGTTTTCCTAATAAAAGCAAGCATCAATCATGCCAACATGTTTTCGTTTACTCCCTTTTTATATATACTACTCCCAAACTTTCCAAATCCTAATTTTCTTTCCACTTCAAATTTACTTCTTCAATTTCAATTTTTCTTTCCCTCTTCAATTTTTCCTTAAATTTTTTTCTACAAAGTTAACGCTTTCAGTCCCCGTATCGGAGACTTGTTTTATTAGTTATTACCATCCTGAATCTACGGCCGAACATTGTAGCCGTATATTGTACTAATACGATCCTGATTCCTGAATCGTACTAGCCTGATAGACGGTCACTGACTGTTACTGTCCAAGTTCTGCAAAGATTCCGGCTAATCTGGATCTCAGAAGCTCACTGTTGACAAACATGACATCGATATTGTGACATATGTTGCATTTCCATCTAAAAAAAGTCTGGAATTTATCAATTTCAGGAAGAAAACTCACACACACACACACACACACACATACACATACT